AAAGGAGCGCCTGGCCCTGGTAGTCCGGTATTAGAGAGCCAGGCAGTCTGCATGATCACTGGTGGTGGTAGGCAGTGCAGGGAGCGGGCGACCACGTGAGACCACCGACACGCAGGGCCTTTACTGCGAGCGCCCTCGGCGAGGCCCGCTGCTCCAGCAGAGAGCGAGTGGAGGCGGGCCGAGTTTAGCGATATTTACAAGGGTGTAGGGAGGGCATGCCTTAGAGGGAGAAATAGTCCACGGATGGCACAGGTTAGGGCAGAGCAGGCTAGCGTGTCACCGAAGGTGTGGTGCCGAGTGCGGAGAGGAGGGCTGTGTGCAGAGCACACGCGCTACAGCCGGCGGTCCGAGGGCGCGCAGGTCTATGACAGACTAGATCAGTTTGCATCAGCCACTGTGGCGTGGCATCCACCCCCACATCCAAGCTGCCCAGGCCTCGGGCCTCACACCAGGTCTGGGACTTGAACTGCGGTAGCCCACGTGAGAGTCCAGCAATGTAATCGTCACACCATCTGCTGGTCCCAGCGCAGCTTTTTTTTTTAAAAGAGAGTTTTTACTATAGGGCGTGTGTGCTCACTGGAGACACAGAGAGAGACAGAAAGTGAGAAATCACCCCCCAGGAAGGGTGGCCACGCCCCAGTCCCTTCTCCACTCTCCCCCTGGGATCTTGGGCACGCACACACAAGTGCCTGGCTTGAGTTTTAAGCCATCGGGTCTGGGAGTCGAACTGTAGTCGACTGTGTGGGAGTCCAGCAAAGTACCCGTTATACCCTCTGCTGGCCCCAGGACAGCTTCTTTGCCTCACAGACCACACTGTGTCTTCAAGTCTTTCCCATCTCGTTCTTTCTACAGTAGGCCTGCCCGGCGGCCTCGGCCCTGCGGGGGCTCGGTGTGTGGGTCACTCAGCAGCCTGGGGGTTCTTCTCAGTGTGAGTGGAGCACCCGCGAGGCCCGGGGTGAGCCGAGCTGGCTGGACTGGTGTAGGCGCAGTTAGACGAGGGGCGTCCCCCTCTGTCCCCGATGTGCTCTGCACGTGAGTTTTCTGGAGGACTGCAGGGGCGTCCTCCTTGGGATCTGTTGTCCCAGGGACCCGGGGCGGGGAGGCGCACTCTCCGCTCCCGTGGGGGTCAGGGTCTCTGAGACTGTCACTCTTAGCGGGGACGCCAGGAGGTAAGACAGGTGAGCCTGGTCACAGAGCGACAGGCCTCTGCACGGGAGAGGCTGGGGTGCGTGTCAGAACCGGGGGTTCTCCGGGGACTCTGGAGCAGCCAGGCTGTGCCCAGATCTGAGTGACCCCACAGAACCTGGGAGGTGCGAGTAGCCACCATGGCGGGCCTTTTGCATGTCCTGGGCACTTCTGTTCAGACCTGCTTTTTGGAAATCGCCACAGACATGTCACCTGTCAGCCTCCCCAGCTGCAGGGCTGGGCTGTGCCAGGTCTCAGAAGTCTCAGGGGCAGAGCCAGGGTGTCCCCAGTGGTGACCTCCTGCCGTCATGTGGGCGCTTCCCTGCAGTGGCCCTGCCCCACCCCTGGTCTCCGGGGATGGCCTCCCATAGGCCGGAGCTTGCCCCACCTCTTCCGGTTCTGGACCGCCCTGCGGACCACGGTGAGGCCAGCTCACTAGGAGGGCTGGGACTTGCTGTCCTCGTGGGTGTGCGTGTTTGTTTGTGTGTGTTTCCCAGAAAGCGAGGTGGGACGAGGACGGCTGTGCTCGCGTGGGTGCCAGCCCACCAGCGGGAAGGACGGGTTGCTCTGGGAAGCTGGCCTATTTGGATTCGCAGCTCCTGGGGTGTACTTATCGGGGTGCTCTGGCCTCTCCCCTGCATGGTGCTCCCCCAGCCCTGCAGTCCCAGTGTTGGTGTGGATGCTGGTTTAGCCCCTGGGCAGAGCAGGGTCCGAGGAGGTGGCTGCAGCCCTGTCTGCTGAGGGTGTCGTGGGAGGTGTGGGCCGCCCTCCCACAGGCTGCTGGAGGGGTCCCTGCCAGCACGGCCCTGCCTGAGCCCACACTCTTGCAGGCTGGCCTCCTGCCTGTTTTTTGCAGCATTTCCCAGAGCATCTGCTAGATCGGCTGGTCCCCAGCTGAGTCTGGGCCAGGTGGTGCCTGCTCTGCAGGTGACCCTCCAGGTGTTCCCGTGGCCCTGCAGCCCTGGGGACACCCTGCCTCTCTGGGTCTGGCTCCTGGGGGGCCCACGACTCCCCTCGTTCCCCTGTGGCCCCGCCTTGCAGACCTCTGAGGGAGCCCACCAGGTCCCCAGACAGTTGGAGCCCGAGTGGTGCTGAAGCTCTTTATTGGGATCAGGGGAGTGGGGTGGGTGGGGCAGGGCTGTGGGCCGGGCTCGAGCTGGGCCAGGGCTCCCGGCAGGCGCGGGGCAGACGCTGGAGGTGCAGACCCAGGGCTGCTGTGATAGGTGGAGGAGCAGGGGTCATTGGGGGGCACAGAGGGACAGGGGGGTGACGGGGGGAGATGCCAGCCCAGAGAGTTCCCTTCCCTAGGCTGCCCTGTGGTCACTACTGGGCACCCCTGAGGCCCAAGAGTGAGCCCGGCTCCTCGGGGAGGGGCAGGTCGGAGCATCCTTGGGACCTGTGGGGTGGGGACGGGTCGATGGGGACCAGCATGTGGGAAGGGCGCTCTGAGCTGCTGCTTGAGGGGGCCAGCATCCAGGTCTGGGTGTCGAGGGCGCAGTGGCATGGGTAGCAGAAAGGGTTTCCCTGTGTCTCGGGGAGCCCGGCCCAGCCACCCAGCGTCTCTGAAGGCTGCTTACCCTAGTCGCTTGGTGTTTCGCACCGCTCTGTGGAAAGTAAGGGGTGTGAGGAGACCCTGAGACCAAGGCCAGGCCCCTCACAGTCCCAGCTCAGACCCCATGCCCAGGACCTACCGCAGGCCCTGGTGTCCCTGTGAGGGGAGATGGGACTCGGGGGCGCGGGGCCCAGGGCAGAGCTGTGCTCTCACCTTTCTGCGTGGGCACGGTGATCTCCCGCTCTTCGAATCCCTTGGTCTTTATAAATTTCTTTGACTCTTCCATGGGCTTCGGAGCCATCCCGGGTTCCCTGCCTGTGGACGACGGGGCAGGTGAGCCTGGAGTCACCGTGTGGTGCTTCCTGAGGGGTCCAAGGTGGGCTGGGAGGGGGTGGGGCTTGGGACCCCAGAGTGGACACGGAGCTCTGGGGTGGGGACAGGGAGGAAGAGATGGCCACCACCCAACTGACAGGTCCCAGGGCAAGGGGTCACCAGGGGGATGTCCTGAATCACTGGTGACCCTGGGAGACCCCTGAAGGGGCACGCCTTGCTCTGGGAAGACCTTGCGTCCAGGAGGCCCCAGCTCCCCACCGGGAGGGCCCCTCCCCATGAAGTCCTCCTTCAGGGCAGCGCCCCAACTGCAGGGCCGAGAGGTGGTCCTGTAGGCATGGTGGCCTGCACCGTCGCTGCGCAGCCGGGACACTGAGGCTCCACCAGCCTCTGTCTCAGGGCTCAGCGCACCTGGCCGCTCCTGGGCCACTTGGACACCGGGCACAGGAGAGCCAGCACGGGGGCTTCCTGTCTCCCAGGCCAGGGGGCTGTGAGTACCAGTCCCACTGGCTTCTGGGAACGGGGTGGTGGGGTGGGAGGCAGGGTCTCCAGGGCCCCTCACCCATGAGCTTCATCGCACGGAACTGCCTCCCGCTGCTGGAGCCTTCACAGTAGAAGATAGCGTGGCCCTCCGGGAGCCTCCACAAGGACACGCGCTTCCTCCCCTCATCTGCAGGCCACAGGAAGACAGTGTCGGACCCCACTGGGAGCCCTCTGGACCTCGGGCTGCACAGGGGCTGCTCCCGGCCTGGGGAGGACAGGGACCTGGGAGCCTGCGCCCCAGGCTGCAGAGCCCTGGGGCGGCTCCTGGCAGCTGCTCCTCAGCCACTTTCAGGCCCTCTCCCCTCTGTTCCCAGATGGCTCCACAGCCAGGACCACCAGAGGGAGACCCGCTCAGTCCCCTGCGTACCTGTTGTCTGGAGTTGGGCAGAGAGAGCGGGGGCAGCTGGGACCCAGCGGCCAAGCGGGGGGGCGGGGGCGGCTGGGACTCACCCGCGATGTACTGGCCAGGCTGCTCTGTTGGCTGCATCAGGACTGTCTTCTCATAGCACTGACCCTCCTTCCTGGAACCCGAAGCACACAGCAGAACCGTCCTCAGCTCTGAGCGGGCCCAGGAGCCCGTGAGACCGTGCCACTGCCCCATGCAGGGTGCTTTCTGGGGCAGTCCCTGTGAAGTTGGGGCTCTTTCCTAGCAGCGCTCACAACTTGGAGGGGAAGAGGAGAGCGGAAGCAGCCCGAGGCCCATGGCCAGTGGCACGCACATGAAGGTGATTGTGACTTCCAGGTCCTCGGTCCCCGTGTCCCTCACTGTCAGCGGGTACGCCTCGTGGGGCCACGTCTTCTCCGGCAGCTTCTTGTCGGTCACTATGGCCTTCATGTACCAGGTCCCAGTGATCTGCAGCGGGCGAGGCCTGAGCACCACGGCCGCCCTCCACCTGCAGCTGCGGCCCCCGGAGGGAGCAGGGCCCCTGCCCACCTGCACCCTGTGCTCAGGGCCTCCGGCCCCCGGTCCTGGCAGAGGGTGGTACCACCCGCTGGTCCGCTCTGCCTCCAGGCCCCAGCTCCAGGTGGCCCTCCCTGCAGGGCCCTGAGAGCCTTGGCTCTGAGCTGTCACTCCGCAGCACCCACGGCCCAGCGTCTCCAGCCAGGGCTGTGCCCAAGGGGTTGCGGCTGCCAAGGAGTGACAGGACCCTGTCTGCTCACCCCAGGCCAGGGCTGCAGTGGGACCTCAACATGGACCAGACCCTAAAATGGTGCCTGCCTCCCCACAGCCACAGCCTGTCTGCACCCGCTCGGCCCAGCTCACGTTCTGCCTGTTTGAGAGGAAGGCTGGGGGGTCCTGGGCCTGCAGGACGGCGGTCAGGCTGAGTGCCACGGTCAGGAGCAGGGTCTTCATCCTGGGCGTGCTCACGGGCAGCGTGGCTCACCTGGAAGTCCGGGCGGCTGTGCTGGTCCTCGTGGCCGGGCACCTTTATACCCCTGAGCAGCAGCCGAAAGCACTGGGCCCAGGCCAGGCCCCCCGCCCACCTGTTCTGGCCAGGTCCACATCCGGGAAGGCCGGGTGTCCTTATCGCCGGGCTCTGGCGAGTACCAATTAAGTGCCACTGGGGGTAATGACGCAGAAGGCCGCTGCGCTGCACCCCGAGGACAAGCTCTGGCAAACTGCTCTGTTCAGAGGGGTGCTGCGGCTGCAGGAGAGTTCCGTCCAGGTCGTGCGCCCAGTGAAGAATGAACTACTGGGCTCGTGCCCTGAGCCGTCAGATACGGGTGGGCTCGTCCACTACTCCGCCGCCCGGCCCGGCCCGCTCAGCAGCTGTCCCTTCCTGACCTGTCCCACTCCCTGCACCAGATCGCAGTGCCTCTGG